CTTCTCTTTCTCTTTCTCTCTTTCTCTCTTTCTCTCTTTCTTCTCTCTCTCTCTCTCTCTCCTCTCTCTCTCTCTCTCTCTCTCTCTCTCTCTCTCTCTCTCTCTCTCTCTCTCTCTCTCTCTCTCTCTCTCTCTCTCTCTCACACACACACACACACACACGCTGACACTCACACACACACACACACAATAACACAAGCCTGTTATCCTTTATTATCAACATTCACGCGGCTCCAAACTAATTGAATTTCTGGCTCTTAGACTTGGCGCGTGGAGGGACACCGCACGGGCTTACCTTCTCTGTCTGTGTCTGTCTGGGGGATGGGTTGGTGGTGGGGGTGGGTGGGGGTGGGTGGGGGGTGGATGGGGTAAGGGGTGGGTGGGTGGATGGGTGGTGGGGGTGGGGGTGGGGGGGGGATATGTGTATGTATGTATGTATGTATGGGATGGTGTGGTTTGGTGGTTGTCTGTCCGTCTCTCTTTCTTCGCCTCTCTCTCTGTTTCCCCTTTCTTTTCCTCCTCTCTTGCTTTGTCACTCTTCTCTCTCTCTCTCTCTCTCTCTCTCTCTCTCTCTCTCTCTCTCTCTCTCTCTCTCTCTCTCTCTCTCTCTCTCTCTCTCTCTCTCTCTCTCTCTCTCTCATCTCTATTCTTCTCTCCCACCCTTTGTCTTCCCCTCTTTCTCTTCCCCCCTCGCCTTCTCGTTTCTCTGTCTTTCTTTTCACTTTCCACTTTCTCTCCCCTTTTTTTCCTCTTATTCCTCTCTACCCCTTCCTCTTCCCCTCCCCTTTCTCCATTCTCTTTATGGCTTTCCTTATTGATTTCCTTTTTATATTGCATTTTTTTCTCCTCCCCCTTCTACTTCCTCTCTTTTTCCTTTTTTTGTCAGCTTTTTATACGCTCACCCCCGCCCCCCCTTCGTTATATCTGCTTCCTCCATTCTCTTATCGCTGTACCTTCTTCCCCTCTTCTGTTTTGTTTTCTTTTGTCTTTTCTTCCGCTCTCTCTATTTACCGTCCCACCTTCCATCTCTTCTCTTCTCCCTCTTTTTATCAACAACCTCCTCTCCCTCATTTCCCCCCTACTCTTCCCCTCTCTCCTCTTTTCTCCCCCTCCCTCTCTCTCTCTCTCTCTATCTATCTATCTCTTTTTTCCTCTTCCCCCTTCACTTCCTTTCTTCTCTTCTCCCCCCCCCCTCTCTCCCTTGCTCCTCTTCTCCCTCTCTCTTTCTCTCCCTTTCTCCTCTTCCCCCTTTCTCCTCTTCCCTTTCCTCTTCTTCCCTCTATTTCTCTCCTTCTCCCCATTTAATCCCCTCTTTCCCCTTTCTTCCCTCTCTTTCTCCTCTCCCTTTTCTCCTCTTCCCTCTACTCTCTCTCCTTCTCCCCCACATTTAATCCCCTCTCTTCCTTCTCTTCCCCTCTCCCTTTTCTCCTCCCACTTCCCTCTATCATCTCTCCTTTCCCCTACATTTAATCCCTTCTCTTCCCTCTCATCCTCTTCTCTTCTCCCCTCTTCTCCTCTTCCCTCTCTTCCCCTTCTTCCCTCTCTTTCTCTTCTCATTTCCATCGCTCTCCCGCGTCAAATTTAAAGGACATTAAAGACTGTTAATGTTCTATCAATGTTTAGTCAAATTAAGGCGATAGAGATTGCGAGAGAGAAAGGAGGGAAGGGGGGGGGAGGGGGGAGTTTTAAGCACTTTGGGTTGTCGTTTCCTGGAGATGTTTATGTCTGTCCTTTTACTCTTATCTCTCTTCTCTCTTCTTTTTTCTTTTCTTTTTTCTTTTTCCTTTTTCTCTTTCTTCCTTTTCTTCTTTTCTCTTTCTTTTTCTTTCTCTCTTTCTTCTTTTCTTTCTTTTTCTTTCTTCATTTCCTCTTCTCTTCTCTTCTCTTCTCTTTCTCTCTCTTCTCTTCTCTTCTCTTCTCGTCTGCTCTATCTCTTCTCTCTCTCTTCTCTTCTCTTCTCTTCCTCTTCTCCTCTTCTCTTTCTCTTCTCTTCTCTCTCTCTCTCTCTTCTCTCTCTCTTCCTCTGGTTTTATTTATTTCCTTCCCTTTTCCTCTCGCTCTTTCGCCTCTCCAAAAAAAAGAAAAGAAAAAATCTAAAAACCCCGCGGCCTTTCTCTCCCCTTTCTTTCTTTTCCTTCCTGTCCCTCTCTTTTTTTCTCCTTCCTTTGTCTTTATTCCTTCCCTTCTTCTTTTTCGCAGCTTCCCTTTTTTCTCTTTTCTTCCTCCTTCTAGCCCCTCCTTTCATTTCCTTCCCCTCCTTTTCCCTCTCCTCTTTCTTTTCTCCCCTTCTTTCTCTCCTTTTCTTCTCTCCATCCTTGTCTCTCCCTCTCTCCTCCTTTCCTTTTTCTCATCTCTCCCTTTTCTCGCCCTCCTCTCCCTCCTTCACCCCTTCCCTTCTCCCCCTTCTTCTGTTCATCCTCCTGCCTCTCCTTTCTCTCACACCTCTCCCTTTCCCCCTTCCTATTACCTCTCTCCATCTTCTCTCCCTCTCTTCTACTTCTCCTTTATCTCCCTCTTCCTTCTACATCTTCTATTTCTCCCCTTCCACCTTTGCCACCAGTAAAATAAAATTAAAAGAGAGAGAGAAGAGAGAGAGAGAGAGAGAGAGAAATAGAAAGAGAGAGGAGAGACAACAGGGAACACAGAGGGGAAATAGAACAGACAGACGAGAGAGAGAGAAAAAAAGAGAGATGAGAGAGAGAAAAAGAAAAAAATATATATATTTATTTCCCATACGTTGTTGCTACCCCCTCCACCCCCTTTGGCTCAGAATGGAGACGTATGTACGTTTGAAAGCACTGGGGGACCTGAACAAGCACAGTTTTTGGCATTTCATTAAGGTCCCGAGGATGGTATTACAGGAAGTTGCCTTATAAGGGGGGGAGGGAAGGAGTGCGAGCAGAGGGAGGGTGGGAAGGGATAGGTGGGAGAGGGGAAAGGGAGGGGGGAGGGAGGACAGGAAGGGGTGCGAGGAGAGGGAAGCGAGAGGGGNATAACAATGATAGCAATAATAATAATAGCAATAATGATGACATTATTATTCATCAAGACACTAATAATGATAATAATAAAGATATCCGGTAATAATGGTACCTATAAGAATAATAACAACAATAATAAAAAGTAATAAAAACAGCGGTAAACACAACAATAACAACAATAATAATTACTTTAATCTGAATAAGAACTCAATAATGATGATTAATCGTGATAATGATTTTGAGAACAGTACTGTCAACAAAATAATCACACTTACATGCAAATTAGTAATAATAATAATAATAACGACGATAATACAGTTTCCCTTTGAATAAAAGTGTTAGTGATAATAATGGTGTAATGATAACTTTTGATAAAGTTATTACTACAAATTGTCATAAAGTCACTCATTATATTTATATCAAATTCTTGATAATTCTCGATCTTACCACCGTTGTCATTACTGCAATTATTATAACATCAATGTCATTATCAATATCATTATGATTATCAATATAACATATTTATCATTATATCTAATATCATCATTACAAGTATCTTTAATATCGCCATATTATCATATTTATTCTGTCGTTCTAAATTATCATTGTTATGACACTGAATATCATAAATTATCTTGTTCAACTTCATCATTACTATCATCCTCTTCATAATTAAATACTTATCACTTTCAACGTAAGTATTATGAATATTACCAATCTAATAACTAAATAATGTTAATCGTTCTCATCATCATCACTATCATTCTTCATCATTGATTTGAAAATTGTTGTCATCATTTCCATTATGATTTCTCACTATCGTTTTCCCAACTGTTATTGTTGTTTCTGTTATTGTGATTATCAGTTTTATCTATTATAAAAACAGTTTTGCCTATTATCAGCATTTTCACTATTATTATTGTTGTGTTTTTGTCACCATTTCACAGTCTTTATGATCAGCATAAGTGTTTTTGCAACTATCGCTATCATTATTTTCACTATTGTTGGCACAATTACTCTTGTTACCATTAACATTATTCTCATCTTCGCCACTATCATAAATCTACGAATTAACATTGCTGCTACCATCATTAATTCTATTATTGTTAACTGTGTCAGAATGGTCATTTCTGTTATAAGTATTCATCCACCTCCTTATCATCATAATGTTATCACTATCAACGTCATTACCACTGTATTCACCGACGTTATAAGTATATTGATATACTTTTCTTTCTTGTTGCAGTACAATGCTATTGCCAGCAGCGTAACACCTGACATTGCATTCCAGATGGCAGCTTCCTGGAAAACCCGGGTCTTTCCTTCCAGCACCTGACAGACGGATAGCATAGGATCTCCTCCCTTAAGGATCGTAGGAGTAAAGATCCTTCTAACCTGCTATTCCCACTGTGTTGTTCCGAGGATCAGCTGACACACACTACCTTGAAAGGACGAAAGATCCTGTTATTTCACCTTCTACAGGATCGGTTGGTGTTCTGCTGAAGTTTAAGGACTGTGTGGTCTGAAGGAGTTGAGGAGCGAAGGGCGGGGAGAATGTCGTGTCCCTCGTAGCACCGGAATCCTCCAAGTGTCCTATGTGTTCAAGTCCTACCGAGCGCGCGAGCCTTTTGAAAGAAGCGTCTCGAACCTTCTCAAAGTGACTCGGACTGCTCGATGAACTTATCAGGGTATCCCGGCTTGTATAGACCCCACCTGTGCCAGCTGGCTTGGTCCGGGTGATGTTTCACTCAGTAGATCATAGACACAGTCTTTTCCCCTCGAGTTCTTGCCTCTTAGGAACTTATTCCACGTTAATTGGCTCCGCTGTGAAACTGGTTCGTTTCCGTACCTGACCCTTCGCTTCGGAAGCATTCGAAACTGAGACAAAAAAGTGTGACTCTGAAATTTCCTGTGACAAAGTGAGACATTTAAAATTCTAAACAAATAGAAATAAACACCATAAACAAGTAGAAAATACGGAGAATAATAGTTTAAGTCCTGTGTGATCTTGGGTCGACTATGCTGAAGATGGAGATCGCGAGAACGAAGCTGCTGGCGGCCGTTCTCACTCTGAACGTCTTCGCGGCAGGTGAGGTGTAATCTTGAGTGCATGGAAGTTTGAAATTCATGTTATTTTACTGATAACCTTTACTGATGAAATAGATATTGAGAAAATAAAATGTTTATCAACAGTTCTCTAAACAAACAAAATAAAGAATACTTTGATAGTTTCCGATTGTATTTGACTGAGAGGGAGAGCGAGAGAGAGAGAGAGGGAGAGAGAGNCCACACACACTACACACACACACACACACCACACAATAATATCTACTATAAATAATTATACTACGTATAATTATAGATATAGCATTACAGTTACGATCTAAATATACTATACATAATAGTATACCTACACTTGTCTATATCCATAGTAATACATGGTTTTATACAGTTAAGTATAAAGTGATATATATATAGTTCTTGATTACTATATATTATATATATTTTATTACTATATAAGTAATACTATATGTATGTGTATTATATACTATAGTTATATCAACGTATAGTATATAGTCACTAATATAGCATATATATATACTAATATATACTGTTACTCCAGCGAATACTATATATATATACTATATGTATAGTATATATATATATATACAGGTAGAGAGGGAGTGAGGAGCGGATCAAGGAGGGAGGAGGCGGGTGAGGGAGAGAGGGATGGAGTGAGAGTGGGAGGAGAGAGGCGAGAAGAGATGCGTTAGAAGAGAAGACAAAGGAGAGAGAGAACGAAGAGAGAGAAGGGAGAGAGAGAGCGCAGATGACGTTCTAATATGATAGCGCCCCTTCTCCCCCCCACTCTCCGCTGAGAGAGACGAAGAGAGAGAGAGACTAGAAAGAGAGGACGCATGAGAGATGATGAGACTATATGCCAGCCTACAGTCCCGCAGTTTGCGGAGAGAGAACGAGAGGAGAGAGAGAAAGAGCAGGATATCCTAAACTAAATATTAATTAAGGTTCTCAAAAGCGTTATGCCTTGGGGTAACATTTAACAATTATTGATTATTGGTGGAAGCCCGGTACTTCAGTGACAAATAAAATAGGAGGGATGCTACAACAAATCTAGCCACATAAAGTTGAGAAATCTTCTATATTAATTTTGTTTCTAACTAATCTGTTCAGAAGAAAATAATAATAATAACAACAACAACAGTAATAATAATAATAATAATATGAATGATAATAAGTACATACGGGGAAATCATTTACAATGTCCATGTATATAATCTTCTCTCAAGGCATACTTATTCCTAACTTTATAAGAGAAAATAAACAACATCAAAAAGTATTAACAAGAAGGAAAAATATTAGAACGGAAAACAGAAACGTAAGAAAGTGATATTCTATTTTTGTTTTCTTTCTCTTCGAATTTGTGGCGCTGGCTTATTTTTTCTCTCTCTCCAGTGGCCTAAAACTTTTCAGAAATATTAACTACTGTCTGCGAATACACTGACTGTGTTATGAATTACGTGGTATGATTTTTAACGTTGAGCTTTTCATACAAACCTGAAAGGATTCTTGGTGATTTTTATGTGTTTATTAATGGTGATACATACATTCATACATACATACACACGCATACATGCTGTATACATATACATACATGAATACATAATATATATATATTATATATATTATATATATATATTTATATATATATTATTATTATGTATATATATTATATATATATATATATATATATATATATATATATATATATATATATATAATATATATATATATATATATATTATATATATATATATATATATATATTCATATACATACCCCTATATATACACATACACACAAACATACACACACACACACACACACACACACATATATATATAAATATATACATATATATACCACATGAACATATATATATATATATATATATATATATATATATTATATATATATATTATATATATATATATATATATCTTATATATACACATATGCACACACACACATACACGCGACTCACTCTGTCCCTGACCCCGCAGGCGGCAACCCCCTGTACCCCCCGACGTCCAGCTGGCCTGCGGCGGGCGAGGGCGGCGGCGGCGGCGAGCAGGCGTCCGCGGCGTACTCGCGGGGCGCGCTGGCGGGCTGCCGCGCCCCCTGCACTTCGCGCCGCCGCCGCCGCGCCCCGACGACCGCTACAACCTGGTCCACCGCCGCCAGTACTTCGCCTCGTTCCGCGGCGCCAGCTGGACCTGAAGGCGTCGCCGCCGCTCGACTACGAGCTGGAGCCGTCGTACCAGCAGGGCGTCAACATGTACCAGTACGCCTTCACGGAGAGCACCACCTACGGCGACCCCAGCAAGTACGCGGGCGGGGCGGGGCGGCGCGTGGGCGCGGGCGGCGGCGGGCGGCTGGGCGCAGGTACGGCGAGAGGGTGTGGTGGCCCCGGATGCCCCTGGCCGTGCTGGGGGCGCGCTCCGAGCCCTACCTGGGCAGGGTCGTCGAGCACGAGGACCAGCAGCTGCGCCCCGCGCCCCTGAAGCGGCCGAGGGACGACCCGCCGGCCTACAGCGACGCCGAGGACATGCCGCACTACAGGTACGACGCGGGCGGCGAGGGCGAGGGCGGCGCCGTCTACGAGCGGGGGCGGACGGAGGGCGCGAGGGAGAGGGGCGGGGGGGGGCGGAGGGCGCCCCGTCGCAGAACGCGTCCCTGGCGGGCTCGGTGCGCGTGCAGAAGTCGCTCAACCCCGCCAGGGACAAGGTGGTGTACGCCGACGTGCCGGCGCTGACCAACGCCTCGGCCACGCCGCGCCCCCTGCACCGCGGGGTGGACTCCCTCCTGCAGATGATGAGCCAGGCGGACGAGGCGGCGCAGGAGGCGCCCTCGCCCAAGCCCTCCCCGACGCCGGAGGCCCCTGAGGCCAAGAACAAGAGCAAGGCCGGAGGGAGGGACGCCGAGGAGGACCAGAGGATGCTGGCTCACGTGGGAGGCCCCTCGGAGCCGCAGGGCCCCTACGTCACCACCACCGTGGCCCTCGGCTCCATCATGCTGCTCGTCATCATCATCGTGGTAAGGATTCGTGCGTGTGTGTGTGTGTGTCCTGCATTCATGCGTGTAGGTGTAGCTGTTTTTTATTTGTACATGCACAGCCTCGACATAAATCTACGGTCCGCCCGCCACATTTCACTACCCCTCAATGCATTAGCCCAAGTAACCTCCAAGACTCAACCCCCCCCTCTAGTCCTCACCACCCTCGAAGAAGTACACACCCCACTCAAACCAAAGTATAACGACCCTCCCATCCCCCATACACACAAATAAATAAATAAATGAATAAATAAATAAATAATACCATAAACAACACCACAGGTCATGGTAGCGCTGAGAGTCCAGTGGAGGGAGCGAGCGAAGGCGGCGGAGGAGTGGTCAGTGAGGCCGCCCACAGTCCAGCCCGCCTCGCCTGCCTCCGTGGGCGCCGGTCCGCCCACTCCGCCGTCGCACCTGGACCCGCTCACGCACCTCCACGCCGAACCGATAAGGATCAAGGTGAGATAAGAGAAGAGATAAGAGGAATGCGTGATTGAATGGGAAGAAGGAAAAAAAAGTGAATGAAAAGCAATGGATGAAAGGATATAGAGACAATCGACGTAAGATAAGATAGGATAAGACATTGAAGTAAATAGCTCACTCTCTCTCTCTTTATCTGCAGAGAGAGAGTGAGAGTGAATGAGAGTGAGAGTGAATGAGAATGAGAGAGAGAGAGAAAGAGAGAGAGAGAAATCTCACACGAAAAGGAAATGAAAAAATAAGAATAAAAGATATCTGGTCTTAGAATTAGTGAACGCATAGCGAAAGAAAGTAGGAAACATTTAAAAAATATATTAGCTTACTAATAGTAAAAAAAAAAAAAAAAATCTGTTTTGAACACACATTAGAAAGAACAGAGAAACGAGAGAGAGAGAAAAAAAGGATTACAATAAGGAACATCGTCGAATCTTATTAAAAAACAGACATAATGAAGAATATAAATACAAGACCATAAATTCATAACTTCAAAAACAAAAGACAAAAGTTCCTCCCTGTCCCAGGCGAAAGGTCTTCTCGAACGGAGGGGATCCAACACCAGCTTGACCTTGGAACTGCCCTCGACCTGCCCGCCACCCGAGGTCACCTCACCGCCCCGACACTGGTCAGTTCTTTTGTAATTTGTGTTTTTTTTATTTTGTCTTTTTTCGGTTTTTGTTTTTACTTTTTGTATCTTTTCTTTCTTTTTTCTTGGTCTTGTTCAGCCTCTTCTTTTCTTTTCTTGGTCTTGTTCTGCCCTTCTCTTTCTTTTTTTTTTCTTTTCCTTTATCTCTTCCTTCGACTACCCTTTCCTTCTCCTCTTCGTCCCCTTTCATTCTCCTCCTCCTCCTTCTTCCCTTTTCATCCTCCTCCTCCTATTTCCTCCTTCCCTCATACTTTTTTCTCCTCCTCTCTCATTCTTCTTCTTCAAGCATACTTTTTTACATATAAGATTGTTAATTCTAAAGTTCATATTTCATTGTACTATAAATCGTAAGCCGTATGCATATGGCCTTATAAGGGAGGGTATTCAAGCTTCAATAAATTTTCATGATTGTGTGTTTTTATCTTTTAAAACATTTTCATCTCACATTTCCTGGGTTTTATGATGAAACCAAAATAACTGTAGAATTAATCACTGTAGTGAAGATAGATACATTCTTTAAGTATTTTAAGTAAATATCTTAAAACTTCTTTAAGTAAATATTTTCAAGTATTTTTAAGTAAATATCTTAAAGCATCTTTAAGTGGTATATATCTTCAAGTGGTAAAAAAAATCTTGAACAATTATCAGCAGAATATTTTCCGTGCCCTTCTTTATCTACTTATCCATCCATTCACCATCATTATCACTATCATTCCATTCGCAACGAAGCGGTTTTCGACTCCTTTCTTTTTTATTTCTGTTGCCTGTGTATCGTTTCACTCCGCCTTACAAGCGAATCATACACAAGTATCCCCAGCACGCCGGAGGAGTTTTTGATGACCGCTGGAAACAGGATGAGCCGGAGACAGCTGAGACACTGCCTGAGGGACACGAGGGCGCTGCATGCCGAGTTCTGGGAGGTCCCGCTCAACTTGCCCGACAAGTAAGGGTCTTTGTCTGCCTCTTCTTCTTGGGTGGTGTGTGTGTGTGTTTTTTTCTTTGCCTCTCTTTGTGTGGTGTGTGTGTGTGTGTGTTTTTGTCTGCCTCTTCTTCTTGGGTAGTATGTGTGTGTGTGTTTTTTTCTTTGCCTCTCTTTGTGTGGTGTGTGTGTGTGTTTCTTTATTTGGGAATGTAGTTATGTTGGAAAGGTGTTGGTCCGAGATATTCGTATTTAGATCTACTTCGTTGTTTTAACACTGTGTTTCCCTGACAAATACTGCATATATCTCAAGGAGGCTTTATAATGATGATATATATACCGGTACTACTTTTTAGACATATATATTATGTAACAATGAAAACTGTCGAATTCTACCATTGATTCTAATTGCAGAAGTAATATTGAATTCTGGTACACTGGTTCATCATTGAAGATAATTCTAGTTATACATTCTATACGTTCAGTTTGATAATAATTCTAGAGACATTCATATCAACGTTACCATATCCATACCAAGACCACTGTGACGATGTAAACATGAATATTCATACCCGTACAATCAAATTACACGAATTCCCAATGACATATCTGTACCAGCGATACAGTACCTGGTATAGGGTTACAGTGACGTCGAGATAACCTTGAATTCCGATGAACAAATAGAACATTTAATGCATTTTTGTAGATACTCATACATGCAAGCAATTTACACGAATGGCCTATACTAGTGATACAGTGCCTGTAATTACTATCAATGTGGAATTGATGTCGAACAAATTTCAATAGGAACAACGAAGGGAAGAACAAGAAAACACACGGATATGCCGAAGACCATTTCGGTTTAATGCTTCTTCAGGGCATAGACTAAAGAAGCAGTAAAGCGAAAAGGCCTTCGGCATATTCGTGTTTTCTTGTTCTTCTCTTCGTTGTTCCTGTTGCAATGACGTCGATGTAACCCTGAATTCCGATGAACAACTAGAACATTGAACACTGAACGCAACTCTCTAGTTATTCATACCTTAAAAATTCAGTCTACACGAACTTCCTAACGAGATATTTGTACCAGCGACATAGTCTTTAATATTTGGATTATGGTGACGTCATTATAACCTTGAATTGCACAGGTGTGACGTCCCAGGCTCCGCGGCCAAGAACAGGTACCGTACAGTGCTGCCCAATGAAGCTACGCGAGTGAGGTTGGACACTGGAGATCCTGCCACTGCTTATATTAATGCTAACTACGTGAGGGTTAGTATCGATTTTTTTTTTTTTTGTATTTTGGGAGTTTTGATGGGATAAGTTTTTAGTTTGAGAGATTGGTGGTGGTAATTTGAAGATTTTCATTGATATGTTTCCTTTTTTTTTTTTTACCTTATATATATATATATATTGTTGTCTGCTATCCGTCTCTCCCTTTCTGTATCCTCAGCCACACTAACCCCTTCCACCCCCAGGGATACGACGGCGAGGAAAAAGCCTACGTGGTAACCCAGGGTCCTTTGGCCAACACCGTGGCTGACCTCTGGGCGCTGGTCATGCAGGAGAGGTCACCGGCCGTGGTCATGATTACCAGACTCAAGGAGAAGCGGAGAGTCAAGTGCGAGCCGTACGTGCCAGCCCTCAGTGCCACGTACGGAGACATCACGGTCACGGTCAAGCAACTCATACACAAGAACGGATACACGACCCGTCAGCTGATGCTCCAGGTGGGTCCTCCGCCTTCATCTTCCGGCGTTGGCTATTGGCAAATCGTCTTAGGCTACTGGGAATCCCTATAAGGTTATTAGGTTTCCTGCTGGCTATTTAAAATTTTCCTTTTAGGCTATTCGGAATTCTGCTTAGGCTACTGGAACCCCTATAAGGTTATTAGATTCTGGCTATTTACAGTTTCCTTTTAGGCTACTGGAAATTCCTGTTAGCTATTGGGCATCCCCTTAGGCTACTGGAATGCCTGCTAGCGGTTGGCATGACTGGCTATTGGCTACTGGAGACTGGACATTGGCTGCTGAATACTGACTACTGGCTTCTGGTTATTGACCAAGATGAAACGTCTGACTTGGGTATAGTATATATATATATATATATATATATATATATATATATATATATATATATATATATATATATATATATATACTGATGCTACTGATGAGCATTATATCACATTGTACATGTCAGCTGGCATCGTCTGGCCTATGATTTACTAGTCTACATTAATGCATGATCCACTGATAGTAAACAGATTACGGTATGTTTAAGTGAAGTTTCTTATGACGCTAAAAGCAATACCTTTACTTTCAAGAATCTTTAGATATTATCATTCTGTCCATGTACTACTTCTGGTTTAGTATTCTTTATAATGCATATAGGAAAAATACTGCACCATAAACAATACCCTTATTTTCAAGGATACCTACACATCATACATTTATCCAAGCATTACTTCTGGTTCAGTATCCTCTACATAACATATAGGAAAATAATTCAAGCTTTAGAAGACACCATAACCACTTCTGCTTCGTCTAACAGCGCCGGGAGGAGGTTCACGAGACGCTGCACTTCTGGTACACCGCCTGGCCCGACCACAAAACACCCACAGAGCCCGATCAGCTGCTCGCCATGTCCCTCGAGGTTGACCACGTCAGGAAGGCAAGTTGGGGAGGTCCTGCTTGTAATGAAGATGATGATGATTGGTGATTGGTTCTTGTTTTCATTCGGTGTTTATTTTCTGTCTTTTTTCCTTTTTTTCACATTTCCTTGTTTCCTGTTTCCTTCCTCCCTGTCTTTCTTATTTTCTGCATGCTATCCTTTCTTTTGTCTCACTTTTGGCTATTTCTCTATTTATCTCTATCCATCTATCTATATGGAGAGCGCAAACACAAGTAGTTAAAAAGTAGTAAAAAAAAAAAAAAAAAAAAAAAAAAAAAAAAAAAAAAAAAAAAAAAAAAATCTTACCACCAAACCCCAGACCATTAACCCCCCCCCCCTCCCCATAGACTGGCACCGGAAGCGCCCGTGGCCCCGTGATCGTGCACTGCTCAGCTGGCATCGGACGCAGCGGCTGTTTCATCGCGATCAGCATGGCCATTAACCAGCTGTTGGAAGAAGACTGCGTTGACATCCTTGGGATCTTGTGCCAGATGAGGCTAGACAGGTGAGTCTTGGGCATGTTTCATTTATTTATTTACTTTTTTAATAATTTAATCACTTTTTAATTTGTTGGGAGGAATGTGGTTTTATAATTTAGGTTTTTATAATTGAGGTTTTGGAATTGTGTTCTGTAGTGGGTTTCGGCGTTGGGGAAAAAGTCTGGAATTAAGATTAATCTCTTCAAACTTCCTGCAAAAATTATGTTTTTGGTTTGGGTACCTTCCATTTTGGCAACACTAATGTACCGATTTGCGTGTAAACAACAGATGCAAAAGCCATTGCTATTTATTCTAAATTGGATGTTACATATTTTTACTCACAGCATATCCTATATATATATATATATTATTTTTTTTACTTTACCCGTTTTCTGTATAAGTGATTTTTAACACACAATTTCATTGTCCGTTATATATGTTCTGCAGATTTCTAGATTTCTTTTCTGTCCCCAAAGATAACCATGAAGGGAACCCCCTTCCAACGCCCTGACAAATTTCTACATACTTGACCCATGAAATTCCAACAATGTCGAATAGAAAGTAATTGGGCCGCTTCCCCACTTAATTAATCACTCCTCGACCTGCCCTTTTTACCCCCCCTGCGCCTCCCACAGGGGCGGAATGGTCCAGACCGGAGAGCAGTACGAATTCATCCACCGTGCCGTGGCGCTGTACGAGTCCACGCTTCCAGCCGTGTGTGTGAACAAGTGATGCACGCCCTCTGACAGCTACCATGCCCTCCCCATGAACATTTCATGACCTCCCCCACAACGGAGTATGTCTCTGGGTCAAGGACACTACTGGCCAGGGGCTTCGGTAGGATGGAAAAGCCGCTTCACCAGGCAGTCTCTGCAAGCGCCTCATTGTCCGTGTTGCCATGCTATGTACAACAGCCAGCAGGTGTTCACGTACGTCCTCAGTGCACCAAACGCATACCGAGGACATGTTACGATATGTACAGCGTGTACTTAACAAGTGCAGTGTGTTACATTCCACATGGAGGACCTTCTATGGCTGTATGGTGCCGTTAGGACAGTCGACGACAGACCCGTCGACAATAACAAACAGTTCGCATCTTGTTTGATGTGGATCTCCGGCAAAAGACAAGGCACATTGGCCCGGTTTCCTCTGAGTGAACAAGTGTCTTCCTGGACACTCGGTCCGATGAAAGACCAAAAAACATTTTCCCAGTAATACAAGATAGATAATTATGGCAGCTTAACTTGAATGTAAACATAAGCATGAATCATTGTCTATCCGAGTGATGTACTTATTTTAACAAAGATATTTATCAGTTGTCATACAATACTTATTTTCTGTAATATAATGTATGCATAAAAAAACATGAATATAAAATAAACACACCTAGAGACAGCGCATAACATCTACATGGCCACGCACACCACACACACACACACCACACACACACACACACACAACACGCACACACGCACACACACACACACACACACACACACACACACACACACACACACACACACACACACACACACACACACACACACACACACACACACACACACACACACACACACACACACACACACACACACACTCCATGCTGTAAATATATATATTTATACGCACATTTCTATCTATCCATCTGTCTTTGACTGTCTATCTACCTGTCTGTCTGTCTGTATATCCATCTATCTATAAATATATATTTATTTATATTTATATGTAAGGTCCTCCCGAAGGATGTCTAAGATTTCGCAACAAGCTGAACCATCTCATGTCCTGTGTGTATATGAGTGAGCCGTGACCTTCGCCGCACACTCACGCTAAACTGTCTCGCAAATTCCTCTCCGCGATTCGTAGGTTTCGATACTCGGCGTGAACTGAAGCTTCGAACTTACCGGTACAGTGTGGCAGTGAAGTTGTACGTTTCTTTGTGCAAAACCAGAGGCGAGCGGCGTGTTCTGTTTGTTATGGGAGTGAATCAATCTGGGAAGTTATTTTATTTCTTTTTTTTTTTCGTATAGAGTGGAGAGAAAATCATGGCCAAGGACCGAGAGGTGTTTTGTTTCCATCGCGAGTATTTGGAGTGAGATGGCAGTGCGAACAGTAACGATAATAACAACATTCTTCAGCGTCTGTGTATGAGGCATAGGCCTACTCGACCAGTACCAGAAATCCTTCAGAGGAGCGTGGTAGTCTCAGCTCCTGCAAGGACCGACTCTTCAGGGGGAATCTGTCTATGGGATCTGTTAGCTCCCAAGCTCTTGACCGAAAAAAAAAAATGAAAATATTAAAAAAATAATCCACCTCGCCTCCATAGCTCTTTTCGTGAGCCCTTCTGAGTGCTGAATGCAAGACTTGTGATCCTGGAGAATTACATTTTTTTTCATTCGTCAAGAAAAGAAGTAGAAGAAAAAATACAAGAAATCGAGGCATAATGAGTGTTCGTACAATTAATTCCTTGCCCGGGGGAACTCTGGCAAGCACCTTGGTGTTAATATAATTAGTCGACATGTAGCATTATTAGTGTCTGAGTGATGCAGTTCAGTGTGATATTAAGCATTAGGTTTAGGTGATATTCCGGAGAATATTTATTTTGTGTTTGACATAAAACCTGATCCAGGTGAGGGTCGTCCGGGAACCTGAAAAGGTGAGATTTCTTCAAGTGTGTATTTGTTCACCTAAGTGGAGATCGCGATAGGAACCAGAAAAAAAATATATATTTTAGCTTTATTCTAAGAATTATGTTAGCCACAGAAAGGACGTTTCTTGGCTAGTGGATATTTTACCTAGTTTAATCCCCCTTAAAAAAAGAAAACGGACGTCACGATGGTTTATTGTTCGGCCAAAAGGCGTGTTGGTTTATCTTGCATTCAGCTCAAAGCTCACACAAAATAACTTCTGTGAAACATGTAGATACAATCCTCTAAGTATAATAATAATAAAGACAAAGGTGTTTCGTGGCTGGAAGACAATATCGGAGATGGGGCTGCTGGAACTGGACTCTTTACCAAAACAAAGAAAAAAAAAAAAAAGAAAAAAATACAATGGCTCATATTCCTATGTTTAGCTTTTGTGCAGAATATTCGGTAAAGATTTCCGTTCTATCTCTCTCCAATGTTCCACCTCAGTTATGCCTGTAGGTAACCTCACAGGGAACCATTCGGTGTATTAGCACAGGGGTTGAAACGATGTAATACCACTGTACACAACACAACATCAAGAAACAAACACATTAAACAGTACTGTACTTATACAACTGCAAGTAAATTATCAAAAGAAAAAAAAAAAAACTACATATATATATTTTATGGTGTATTCTTAAAATTGATTTATCTACCAAAGTGGACAAAAAATATATAAAAAGGATAAAAAGGGGAATTGTCCTTCCCTTTTCGAGGCTCTGGGTAGCCATGGGATATTAAATGTCATGTTAGTGTAACGAGAGAGAGAGAGACTCTCGTCAGTTCGGTGTATTTTCGATGTCTTTGTCTGGAGGGTCTGTGTGTGTGGGGTTGGCGTTGTAGGTTCCCCTCCTGTACGCACAGTTCATATACTGGAGCTTTAAAAAGGAGCTTTAAATCCATTTCCCGGTGTGTTATAAGTGAGTATTGTTACTGGACTGCGGCAGAGAAGGATTTTGTGATAGCGAAACTCGTCTTATAAATCCAGTTGGAATAACCGATTTTTTTTCTCGCAATTAAGTACGGTTTTTCTTTACGCTGTGAAGGGTTATTCATGTTTCTGATCAGCTGCTAGTGACGAGTCCGAAAGAACGTCTGGTTATGTTCGATATAACCGTGATTCTCGTGAAATTGTCAGCTGTTTGAATAAACCACTATGTTTTATATGTAACGATGGATTAAGTGTTCAAAACTGTGTTCATTTTGGAGAAAGGAAGATGTAACCCGCAGCTAAATAATGGATCAAAACGACTGGCCATTCCATTGTATGTGAACGCTGTTAAAGAACTGGATTTTCTTTCAACTATAGCAGGTCTAGCAGTAACATCTGATAGAAATTAACCGTAATAAGCCAGTAAACTACCTCTACAGTATATATTTTTTCATCATAACAAACTCGCCGATGATAATTCCTTGTAGTAGAATATGTCAATAAGAATAAGGTAAAGAAAATCAGACGTATCAAAACGCAGGATTTCAAGCTTATCAAGAAGACTCGTTACTTCGGCGCGCTGTGTTTGTTTTCATTGGACAACGTCAGCCAATCAACGCTCTCGGTGTCTCCAGCGGGAAAAGTTTAAGCCAATCAACGCTCTCGGCGTCTCCTGCGGGAAAAGTTTTAAGCCAATCAACGCTCTCGGCGTGTCCTGCGGGAAATGTTCCAGCCAATCAGCGAGGTTTTACTAATTCAGTGTAGCCAATTGTCGTCCTTAGCCATGGCATGAAGAGTGCCGGGCCTTGTTTTCAGGATCAGTAAACGTTCTGAAAGATAATAACGCTTAGAGAGAAAAATAAAAACGATATTTTTGTGTGTAATATAAGAACCAAAAAAAGGAGATAGGTTTAACATCTTTCTTGGCTTATTTCTTCAAGTAACTGTATTCACCCCATGAACCGCCAACCCTTCGTTCGAGAAAATGTCGAAGTGACCTCAAGCGTGTGGAGGTTTCCGTATGTCGTTTAATAGTACATGTCAGCTACCTGGTGTGTTTTCTCTCCCCTAAACCACTAGAACCTCAGGGTCGGCCTTTGTTTCTCCCAGTGAAGAGTCAAATCAACGTCTTAATCCATCTCCAAATGCCTTTTTGTCTCTCGATTCTTTCTAAAAAAAAAACGTGTAAGTATCCAATGTATCAACGTTTTAATCATTTTTTTTTAAACATCTCTATTCTTTTCAAATCGTGTGAGAATCCAGTATATATTCCTATCCACGGTTCCAGCACCTATCCGCCGGTCCTAGCTTCGATTCGAATGAAGCCCAAACGCCTACTATCCCGATGACCGAGCTTCCAATCCACTGTTAGTTCCTATTCCCGACACACTGTAGTCTCCCTTCCCTCCTATAAACCCGTCTTTGATTGTCTCGCGTATATTGCTCATGCCTTAATCTTTTTACTTTGTTGTTCTTATTTTAAATCATATATTCTTGACTTGTAGACATTTCCTCCAACCCCGTTTCTTCCGTTTATAACTTGCTAAAGAATCTAATCCTATTTTGTCATGAAAGTCAACCTATTCTCTTGTATGAAAGGATTTAATACTATTCCCCGTGGAAAATCATTCCTTATCCCTCTTCCAATCGTATATCCAAGTGTTCTGATCTTATCCTACTCAATCTCTCCAATAATAACATCACATACCTTTCAATCTTTCTAACCCCATTCCGTATCCAAACAACAGAATCCAGACATTTTTCTTCACATAAAAAAATCAATACTCATCCCCTTTTCCATCCCAAGTTCCTAAACCTTCATTAAGCTTGAATTTAATCCAATAATCCCCCTCTTCAAATCTTTCTAACCCCATTCTGTGAATCTGTAAGAGATAAATCCAAACATTTTCCTTCGTAAAGTTTGAAAATCCCGTTAATCACCTTTTCCATCCCATTTCCTAATCCTTAATCCTAAACCCTTAGTTCAGAGTTTCCTGTTAACTGTATCCTCTGGTAAGGGCTTCCTCCTCACCAGGATCCTCCAGCCAGCTGTATTGTCCAGCAGAACATCTACCCAACAATACCTGTACTGTCGAGTAATATATTTATTCACCAATGTTGTGTTTCATTTCGTTTTTTCTCCTATGCAGTGGCGAGTTTACAGCATATAAATGTGTTGGAGAGAGAGAGAGAGAGAGAGAGAGAGAGAGAGAGAGAGAGAGAGAGAGAGAGAGAGAGAGAGAGAGAGAGAGAGAGAGAGAGAGAAGGGTAGGGGAGACAGATGTAAAGAATAGAGAAGACAGATGTAAAGAGAAAGAGAAAAGGGGGAGGGAGACACGTAAAAAGAAAAAGAAAGAGAGACAGAGAAAGGGAAGTGAAGCAGAAAAAGAGGGGGTGGCAAAGACAGAAGAGGCAAAACAAAGAAAAACAAAAAGGGGCAGAGAGAAAGAGAGAGAAAAAAAAAAAAGTCTACGTGATTGTGCTTGTGTTTGAAGTGGTACAGTACGGCAGCGGTTCGGTCTGTTTGGCATTCACGCCTTTATGAACGCAAACCAGAACAAACCAAACACTCGTTTATATTACACAAACAACTACCTAGTTTGGAAAGTACCAACCCATATTTACGTACCAAAATGTAAGCACAACCACAAGGAAAACATTCAGAGCTAGCGAAGGTATTTTCAGCAGTACTAATCTTAGCCCCCCAATATATATATATATATATATATATATATATATGTATATATATATATATAATATATATATATAATTTATATATGTATATATATATGATAT